TCGCTGTAAAGATTTGTTCCCTCTTTTGAGCTACTGCATCCACGGGTGTAGATCACGTCAGACACTTTGAGCTCTTGGCTGTTACAGACATTACTCACGCTCTCCAGTTAGCTCTGTGGTCAGAGTGAGTCTGACATTTATTTTGTTTGGTGTAGCTGTGAGTGCAGGTGGCTGTCACACGGAGCTTGACTGACTGACCGCTTTTTCCACCTCCTTTCCTGTAGCCGGGGTATCCCCACCTGCCATCCTAAAGCACCTCTGAGCCTGTCTCCTCATCATAGGGAAGCTGCTCTGGGGACATATCCAGTAGGCACCTCAGTCCACAAAACTTTGTCCTCAGCTCACATCATGGCACCCTAAACAAACCCCCTGACACCTCTCTAGTTTCCTGTTGTTTAAGGACTTAGGGTTAAACTTCCAGGTAATGTAAGTGGGGGAGTAGGGCCAGCTCTAATATACTGCGAGAAACCTCTTTGTGGGGTGAGCCGAGCGCGGGAGTGTCTGTGTGCTGCTGGGAATTGGCATGAGAGGGAAGGGTCAGGGTGTGGCTCTGCTCTACTTGGACACACTCAGACAGGATTAAATGATGGGAGTTTTCAAGGTTGTAACATAGAGTAATGATGCATTTTTTATAAAAAGTCAGCCTTTTCAGTTATAGGAGCTGGGCCGGCACAGTGGGTTAAGTGTTGGGATGCTAATCTCAAGGCTGGCAGTTCAAACCCACCAGCCACTGTGCGGGAGAGAGATGAGCTGTCTGCTCCCATAAAGGTTTGTAACCTTTTAGGCCCTACAGACTCTGCCACACAGAGTCACCGTGCGTGAGTCAGAACCGTCATAGTGACTGAGGGTTTGGGTTTTTGTTTTTCTAGGTATTACGGTCAAATGTAGGCTCTCATTTATAAACAAAATGAAATTAGTTTTGCCACCAGCTCTATCTAAGAAATTGAGGTTTTTCATTCATTCCTACTTTTTTACAGACTAGAGAAAAGAAAAAAAATTTTCAGATTCTTAATTTCCTAATTTTTTCCTCAATATGTGATTGTCTTCATGGAAGAAAATGTGCTATTTAATTTAAACTACTGTCTTAAAAAGTGTAATTCCAAATAGTCCACTCTCAGTACTGACGTTTGTAGAGAACAGAAAAGCATAAGAGATAAAACACGTGATGCTCTCTTTCCCCAAAGTTCCTAACTCTTAATGTTTTGCTGTGTTTTTTAAATTGAGATCTAATTGATATGTAGTGAAATGTCTAGATCTTAAATACACAGTTCCAAGAATTTTGATGAGCGTATACATTAGTCACAGTTTAGAACATTGCCATCACTCTAGAACGTTCTCTCCTGCCCTCTGCTGGTCGATTCCCACCTCGGTAATCACAGAAAGATTAACCAGGAAGCATGGTTTCTGTCACCGTGGAATAGTTTTGACCTTGTGGAACACCACGTCAGGGTTATTTCTCGTATGCACTCTTTGGTAGCTTGCTGACTGTGCTCGACATTTGAATGAGTCATCCACGTTGTGTGTCGGTACAGCAATCTAGTGCTGCTGTAACAAAATACCACAAGTCAGATGCCATTAGCAGGCCAGGAGACTTGTTGTTAAGTGCCATCCAGTCTGTTCCAACTCAGAGCGACCCTGTATAGGGCTTCCAAGGAGTGGCTGGTAGGTGTGAACCGGTGACCTCACAGTGTGAGTAGTCTAGTGCTTATCCTACAGAGCCACCCGAGGAATCTTGTTGAGGAGCCTAGAAATGCCAATTCAGAACACCAGTTCAAGGGGATAACCTTCTCTCTGTTGGTTCTGCAGGAAGGACCTGTCTCCTGCCATCTGTGAGCTTGGTATCCCTTGGAGAGCTCCATGGGTCTAGGCATCGATCTTCCCCTGGTTCTAGAAGGTTCTCAGTGCAGGGAACTCAGGTCCAAAGGACACGCTCTGTTCCCAGGGCTTCTCCCTTGGTGGAGTGAGGCCCCTCTGATCTCTGCTCGCTTGTTTAATCACTTTCATATCTCAGAAGAGACTGATTCAAGATCCAAGCTAATCTAAGGGACTGTACCCTGCCTCACTGATATCACTGCTGCTGTCCCTTCCTCAGTAGCATCAGAGACTGAGATTTACAACAGGGAGGAGGATAAGGACAGATCGCAAGATAGAGGGTAATGACATTGGGCTGGTTGGCAATCATGGCCTCGCCAAGATGACTCATAGTTTTGGGGTGGGGGACACAATTCAGTTCTTGGGTATTAGGAATTCATTCCTTTTGATATGGAGTGGTAAGTGCATCATGGTATGAAGATGCCGTTTCTCTTATTGTTGTTTAGTGCCATTGAATTAGGCCCAACTCATGGAGGAGTGGCTGGTGGGTCTGTAGTGACAGTGTCGTGGTTCATAGTCCAGTGCTTGCTTTACATTGCCACACCAGATCTCCTGTTGGTGGACATTTAACTTGATTGCAGCTTGGGACTGTTATGAGTAAAGTTGCTATGGATCTTGTTACACAAGTCTTTCTGTGGAACTCGTCGTTTCCTTTGTCTTGGGCATATGCCCAGGAGTGGAATTGCTGGTCATAATGTAGATGTATGCTTTCCTCTTTAAGTGATAGTTTCCAAAGCGGCTGTACCACACTGTATCACTACCAGCAATGCATGAGGGCTTCAGTTACTCCACATTCTTGCCAACACATGATAACATCAGTCTTTTTCAACTCTGACCATCCTAGTGTATATAGAGAAATACCACTGAGGACAGATGAGATTGAATAACTTTTTATGGATTTATTTGTATGCCTTCCTTTGTGAACTGACCGTTCGAGTGTTTTGCTCCCCTTTTTGTTAAATTGTGAAACCCTTTATTTCTACCTTTTCCCCTCCTTTTTTATTTCCGCTTTTTATTGTGAATGGGGTGAAGGATTACACGTCAGCTCATCCGCATTGCACGCCACAGCTTGTACACACTTTGCTTCATCTCGTTGATGGCACCCCTCAGTGTAACACTCGGCCACTTTCCCCCTTGCGTTTTTTCTTTCCATTCCTCCTTCTTTCCTTGGGTCCATGGTGACTTTTTTATCTCAAATGGTCGATCAAACCCTGTTTTTAAAATTGCAGTGCTTAGCTCATGATTTTTAGGAATTCTTTTTATATGCTGGCACAGTTCTGTTTTATGTATTTATTTATGTATTTTCCCGGCCCATGCTTCCTTAGTGTCTTTTGATGAGCAGGTGATGATTTGGGCTTGGATGAAACCTGCTTCATCAGTGCTCGGTTTTATGATGATTCTTTCCTGTGTCCTAGGCCTCTTTGCCCCAGGTCATAAAGTTCTCCCCATGCTTTCTTCCACGTTGAGGTATATATCCATCACCAACTAATTTTAGTGTGTGCTGTGACAAATAGGTTAAGGTTCATCTTTTCCCAGTTTCAGTATTATTTGTGAATGAGATATATTCATTCCTTTCCTCCAGTGACCTTCTGTAGGAAGCTGTTGGTGTAAATAGAAATTTTGCTTCTAGAATTTGGCCTGCATTATTTAGAAGTGTATTTAATTTTCAAATATTTGAGTTTTGAGGTGTTTTACAGATTCATCATTATTTTTCAAAGTTTTCTTAGTATTCCATTGTGTACCAAAGCTTCTTTAACCGTTCTTCCGTTCCCGGGCATTTAGGCCATCTCTACTCTTTTGATGTGTCTCTTGCAGATAGCATACTGAAGGATCCTGTTTTTTTTTTCCATTCTTGTCTCTCTGTCTCTTGACTGGTGTATTTAATTCATGTGCATTCAGTGAAAGTGAAGAATTCTGCCACTTTCTTCAGTCTACA